AATTAGAAAAGTTAACCTTATCGTATTAAATAGCAGCAAAGCTCCTACTTAAACACAAAGTTTCAATCCTATGAAGCCATTATTGTCCAGTAAATGTAGCCTTCAACTTTTGTGCTCCTTTAGAATCCTTTTTGATAAGTCTTCATATTCTACTGACTCTTGCAACTTAAATTGTCCAAGCAAGCCAAATATGAGCAGTTAAGTACTATGGGTCAAAGAAAAGACAAATTCCAATATTTTTCAATTTACATGGCCACTGATTCTAGAAATTTGACATGCATTTAGGTAGGAATAGTACTTGCTAGCCCACTCATACAAATCACACATCTGCTTGGGTTCACAATAATGTATCCTTTTCTTCCCAACCAGCTCTCTTATTTCAATCCTTCTAACCTTCATTGTCAAGTCACATAGTCTTGCCCAAAGAAATGCTCTCTGATTAGACATTCTAGCTGTTGTGGCTCCACTTGTATAAATTCTACGACTAACTACAAAGGATCTTAAATGCTACTCACTTGGCACTTAACCATCATACCAATTACAGCATTTAGTTCCATTTGTTCATTTAGACTGCGCTCAGCACTCTGTCTTTTTTGAACTTGCCTCACTTAGGTATTGTCCATAGAAAAGCAGTTTCTGAGGTTTCTTGGGCCTTCTGAACATAGCAATACAATAAATGCTTCCTGAGTCCTAGGTGCTTGTGGTACTGTTCATATTACATGGTTTGATGCCTCCAAAGTGGTGTGGTGATAAACATGCTACAAATAGGTAGGCAATATTTGGATCACAGCTTCCCTGTCCAGTGGAGTTTACTGTTTCTAACAGGACACCAGCCTTTCTCAGTTTCCCTTTTTGTTTGTTCAAGTCATAGGACATAAAGAGCTTAGTACTTCTCCAGGATTGTTTTAACAGCTGGTAGAAACCAAGCTCCTGGACATAGCCTGTGGCTCCAGCAAGGAACTACCCTAATCCCTGACATTACATAATTCAAACAGCTCACAGATATTTCAACTTGATCCCACTAGGTAATCCTAGGATTTAGCAAGACTTCACAGGACATTTTGTACAAATGACAGATGCTACAATCTGGAGTATAAAGCTGTTCAGTATTATAGCCTGCCTTATTTATTTATCAGTAAGTTTGTCTCTACTTCTTTAGAGGGGGTTATGACTACTCTTCCCCAGCCTAGAAGACTCCAGTTTTCTATCCAGATCTTGGGGAATACATGTGGACAAGGGTAAGCTTGTTTTGGTCACTACTGTATTCCAACATGTACAGTACATGCTTAACAGTCAAAAGGAAAATAACAATGACAACAGCATTAGCAAGCACTTAAAGAGCATATACTACATGCCAACTGCTATCCTACTGTCTTTGCATTTGTCAACTTAATTATTGCTGACAAAGTACTACAAGGTAGGTAGCTGCATTTTATGAGGAACTATGGATATAGAGCCCCTATTGAACTTAGTTAAGATTAAATGGTGGAGCTAGGCTTTGGGTCCACAACATCTGGCTCTCAAATCTGTGCCTTTTATTAGGAAATATATTATATATTGCTTTAGAGTTAAAATTGCTAAGTGAATGATTACCAACATGACATTCACTGTAATTGAATTAATTGCTAACATTTTGTAAATACAATGTGCCAGCAATTATTATCTGTACAGCCTCATTTAAATTTCATGCCTTCCTTTAGATTCCTATTTTGTCAAATGAGGAATAATTATAAGCAGAGAAAACATATTTAAATTCAAACAGCTCATTGGAGAAAAGTAATGGGTACCCTCTCATCTGGCTGTAGTAGACATGATTTTAACATTATACTCCATCACTTCCCACTAGCTATCATGGCTTCCCTCTAGAGCCTTTCTGAAATGTATCCTATTACTAGTTCAGTAACAAAATTGATAAAAATAGATGAATAAAAAGGACAAATAAAAGAAAAAATAGAGTAAAAAGTACTGGTTAACACAGACTTGATTGGTAAGAGGTAAGTAGAGTCTAGTATCCACTTTTCTGATTTCAACTGCATTATCTATCTTATTCCTATATTGTCCCTGTCTTTTTCCTTAAAATTGTATTTATTTATTTTATGTGTATATGTGTGTGCCTGAATTTATATATTTGAAACATGTGAGTGCCTGTGAATGAGGAGGCTGGAAGAGGACATTGAATTCCTTGGAACCAGAGTTATAGGTAGTTGTGAACCACCATGTTCATGTTTTGAATTGAACCCCAGGTTGTCCACAGAGCAGTGAGTGCTCTTAACCGCTGAGCCATCTCTCCAGCCCGTGCCTCCCTCTTGTTGCTACTTTTGTGTTTGAGTTGTTTCAAATGGCTCGCGTCGCAATTCTGTCCTTTCAGTGTGAGAAGAATGGCTAAATGCACAAACTTCCCTGAACAAAAGTCCTCTGTCCAGCATCATTACGTGTAATTTAGTTCTTATCTCTCAGAATATTATGAAAGCAACATAAATGCAGTGCAGTTATGATAGCGGACAATGGAACATGTGGGCAGAAGCACAAGTAAGAGCAGTGAATGCAGAGAAAAGGTTGCTTGGGATAATAGCTGTGTAGGAAAATTGGTGGATAATGGGATAAAGAGGTCTATTCTCTTCCACAGTAAACAGTGAACAGGGAGAACAAAAACAAAATATGGAGAATTATTCCTACAACATCAAAATAATTTCAAAATAATGACATCTGAGAGAAAACAGCAAAACATGTACAAAACTAAATTAATAGAGGAGCAGAGGCAGCCAGTACCTAGGATAAGAAGAAAGCGAACAAAGGGGTCTTACAATTTAAAAAAAAATGACAACGAAAGAAAAGGAACAGAAATTAAAGGGGCTACTGGTGTCTTTCATGTGTATTATAACTGCTATTTTAAAAGTACCCTCTTTTATCCTTCCCTCTGCAAGATGAGCTACAAGCTGTACACACTGTTCAAACTCTTCGGAGTGCTTTATTCAAACCCAAGTCCCAGTGTACAAAACAGGCAAGGTTTTTGTTTAACTGGCTGCAAGTTAAAGCAACCAGAAGAGTCACACAGAAATTTAGTAGGTGGACATTAGTTGTTGAATTTTAAAGAGTAGACTGAATATTTAAATGTTCCCTATGTTACCTATAGCAGATAAATATTCAGTCCACACTTGAGTAAATCTACTGATGGGGACTTCACCAACTTACAATAGTATGTTTGTTGTTGTTGTTGTTGTTGTTGAAAGTAGGGGATGAACAAGCTTCACATGCATCTCTAACAGTCCTGTCCCTCAACTGCCACTTCATATGCATTGATCTCATTTATTCTTCATAACAATCCTATTGATTGTTCTCCCTGCATTATAGGTGATATAGTGGAGGTGCATGAAATAAATAGTCACTTACTTGTTTCATATAATAGTCATGTTAAAACCAGGATTTAAGAGCAGAACCATTTGACTTTATGTATCACTCCTTGTTTCTTGTCTCTACAAGGAAATTGTGTGAGAATCTAAAGTGGCAGCAGAAAGAAATTGAGATTCCTGGGGCTGGGGATTTGGCTCAGTTGGTATAGTATACATGAAGCCCTTGGTTTGATCCCTGGCATTGCATGCCTGCAATCTCAGCACTTGGGATGTAGAAGCAAGAGAGATCAGAAGTTTGGGCTTACATCCTGATACATAATGAGCTCTAGGATATGCTGAGGTGCAAAAGACCCTGTCTCAAAGTAAATCAAACAAACGACTCCTAGCCTGAAATACAGATTCTCTCTGTGAATTTCAGTCTTATCATCGAGTACAGGTATAATACAAATAGAGTTCTTATTGAAACATCATAGCTTCTTCTTCTTAGAAACAAATGCTGAGCCCGTATTGTCAATTAATCTTGCCCTAAATATTTAGACTGCTTGATAATCAACTACAAAATTGGGACAAGCTTAATGGAAGTAGTGACATAGACGTCACTAGTATAGAACCTTGGGACAGTTTGACTAGTTTGAGTCCCTGGCTCCATGGCTGTAGAATGTAGCTCAGTGGTAGACAACTTGCCTTACAAGTGCACATTCTTGGGTAAACCTCCAGCCTGAGGAATGAAAAAAACTGAAGCTTAATTCCTAGCTTCATTATTTATCAGCCATGATAAATACGTAAGTACTCTGTATTTCAATTCCATATGTCATTAAAATAGGAATAATCACAGTATTTCCCTGGTAAATTTGTTATGAATACTGAATTAAATTAATGAACATAAAGTTATTTAAATAGAATCATAGAGGCATTCAAATGATGCCAGTTCACCATTATTTCATATTCATTATATTTTCCATAATATAGCTTTCCATTTTGAATACTGGTGTATTTTCTTCTCTATAGTTTTGTCACAGATTTCATTAGTATTTATAACATTGCCAAGATTGCCTAAAGCAAGTCTACCAGACATGTCTGAGGGTTATTTCAGCATATAAAAATGTACATTTTTCTATTATGTTACACTAAATTTTATTAGATTACAGGTCCCATGAAGGCAGATGTGACTGCCACAGAGTATGCTCTCAAAATAAAAATTCACAGCAGTGAGATACTTTATTGCAACCTCGTGTCCTTTAGGCTTCAAGTCCTCTTGGCAAAGGACTTTCTGTTCCTTCGTTACCATTAAAACTTCTGTCTCGTGTAAAGTCCTGTGAAACTATCAGTTATTTTTCATCCTTTATTTTTAATATATTCAGGTATTTAGAAATCTTTAATATTATCTTCAAGATTTTTAAACTAGCTTTCTAGTATTTATGAAATTATTTGTGTTATTCCTGATAAATTTGTGAAGGGCTCTTTTTAAATATGAGCTTATCAGAAAGATTAATGTAGCCATATTCAATTATTTAGTTGTTGACTAGCTCATTCTTTCTTTATGAAAAAAAAAACTGAGCTTTTAGGCATCCATTTAAATTGTGTCCCAGAGGTGAATCCTTACTCACCTCAGTCTGCTCTTACCCTTTCCCATCTTTTCCTTTGTCAAAGGTTATCTTCAACTCCAGAATGATGATGGTCCCCTGCACCTGCCTCCACCCAGTGCTACTAAGACTCAGTCTTTTGCAATAATGGTAAGAACAATTTGGCAGACAAAATACCTCGTTCTTTTGTATACCTTCTTTCCACTACATTATTATTTGGGGGTTTACCTCTTATTTGATCAATAGAAAATAGAAAGGTTTATTGTAGATAACAAGGAAATCCTCAACCATGGACTCAATACAAATATCAGACACTATTAATGGTCTTTACTTAACAAGGCTGTAGCTTTTCAACCCTGGGAAGCCTGCGCTAAGAACATCCAAGTATGTGGAGTTAAGAGTCTTGAACTCTAGGCTGGCTTTGTTCTGGAGAGAAAGTCTGTGACCTCACTAAAACAAGAAAACTCTCATCTGAGAGAAGCTATGCTTTCATCAAGGTGTCTACTGTCTTTGCCATCCGGTTGTTAGCCTTTCCTGTGCTCCAACTCAGCTACTCTGAATTCAGAGGCCCTCCCTTAACTTCTGCATCTTTCTTACCCTTGCCTTTCTAACTAGTTGTCTTAGAACTGACACACTAGTTCATCTTAGTTTTTTGCTGCCCCTTCACTCCTAAATAGAGCATACTGTTCCATCTCTTTTTTTTCTTTTCCTTTATCTTTAGGCTCTGCTTCACTTTCCCAGTTTACTTAAAGCAACTGCATCTTTGGGAGATAGATGTTAAAATCAAGGAATATGGGCTGGTAGTGTGGAACCCTGAAATAAGCCAGACTAATTGCTCTCTCTCTGTCTCTGTCTCTGTCTCTGTCTCTGTCTCTGTCTCTGTCTCTCTCTCTGTCTCTCTCTCTCTCTCCCCTCTTCCTCCCAGTCTTTGCTTCTCCCTCTTCCTTTGCCTCTCTCTCCCTCTAATTGTTCTAAGCATGAACACACATTAATGGGAAGAATAGACGAATGCCTTTGGTGACATGGCTAATAAGCTAAGAACTTCCTTGTTGCCTTTACTAACCTTCAGAAATTCTGACTCCTGGTTTGTATGAAACTTCTGATAAGAGCTAGGGGAGCTGAAAAGAGACATTGGTGTTTTGCTAAGTCTCAGATTCATAGGTTTTCTCTTCCAGGGTCAGATTGAGACTGAAATAACTACCCTAATTAACTAGCAGGTTATTGGTTTCAGATATGGCATTCAGAGTTTATCTACAAACACCAAGGCAGTTTGAATCTAAGCTCAATTTATTCTCTCAATTGATTGCGAAAGGCAAACACGCAACATGATTTAATGTAGGACACACCACACACATGCACACATAGAGCAAGGGACATGAACCAGATGTCTGCTTAGTGTTTAACTTGGTATGTCATGACTTAGCACCCCTCTTTAGGGGCATTCGCTACTGGGTAAGGGAGACCACAAATGTAAAAAAAAAAAAAAAAAAGAAGGAGGAGCTATGTAACAGAGAAACAGGCAAGAATGAGAACAAATTTTGAAAGTCACTCTGGGTATTCTGATTTCTCCCTCATTTTCTCACTTTCTGTGAGTCAAAATTCTTCCCAAACAAATCTTACTGAAAACACTAGTTTGAGCCTCCTATTACAAAAGGAAGAACAGTATCCCATTAGAAACCCTCAGGAGAGATTATGTGAGGAACATATGCTATCCCTCTTTGCCAAGGAGAAGTGCCTAAGGAAGCACTATTTACAGAAGTATCCAAGGATCAGTGACAACAAGTACAGGATATCTCCTCAAAGGGCTTACAGGGACAGGATATCCAGCAACAGCATGATTGAGAGTTTTGGGGGGAACTGATGATGCACTTTGTATAGGAAATTGATAGAGACATGAAGGAGAATCTTGTAGCACGGAGGACCTATGTGTTGTTGGTTCCTCAGGTAGGAAGTGGGCAAGTGGCCCCATTCAAGTGGGAATGGGGAAAGGTACTCTTGGAAGCCATTCTTTGGTAAGTAGGATACAAATGCCACAATATTATTTAATGCTGGTCCAAACTTGCTGACTATCTGCCGTGTGTACAAGGAGCTGAGAAGGAATACCACAGGAGTGATAAAAGAAAACATAAATGCTACTGGGACAACATGTGTTAACCTCAGCATTACTGTTGCTTATGATCTTCAGGACATACCAGTGCTTCGGATAGAGAACTGCTGCCAATTTCCTCTGGCAGATTTTGCCAATTTCTTTACAAACCTGGGGATAATGAAAGGGAAGGAGCTTACAGTGCTCCCTGAGGTCCTCATCTCTCTCAGAAAAGAAGAGGTTAAGTTTACCTTCTTGCAGAGGACCATTTGGTGGTCGAATAGGAAGAAGACTCTCTGCTGGTTGCGGCCATAGGGCTGATAGATCCAGGCCATCTCTCCAGTGTAGATCAGCTCCGAGCTCCTGTCTAAGATGTCCTCTCCCTAGGAAGGACATGTGATGGTGAGAGATGCCAGTACAATTGTAGAGCCGGTACAATTCCATACACATAGATACCCAAAGGTGAGCACAGACTCAAGTGGGAGGCAGCCAAAAAGAGATTGTGGAGATGGAGGAAAAGAGAGAGACTTCTGGGCTCCCTTAAAAGGTTTACAATTCTGTAAGTGAGAAGACTCATATTCTTATTTACTGTGGGGTTAAATAAGACCCATCCCTTACTCACTCAGTCCCACTTCCCCTCTATATTACCCTTCACTCCTCCTGTATTTTTATTTACTCTAAACCTAAATGACACCCAGAAGTCAGTTGTCAGTCAGTCAGCCAGCAAGGCAGGCAGGCAAGCAAGCATTCTCTTTTCTCCTCCTTCTTATCTTCTATGACTCTCTTTTCTGCTCTAGTTTCTCAATTCTTACCTGGCCTCTCACTTACTTCAAGAGTAAGCCTGAAAAGGTAGTAGAAATTTTTCTGTTTTCCATGTAAAAAATGAAATAAGGGGGGAAATATTTTATGATAAAATCAGGAAGTTTACCACACATGCTTCAGCCTATGTGAAAATGGAAGAAATGAGCAGTGGCCTAGGAAAGAGAACTTATCATTCCAGGGGATGTATATGGGTCAAATAGTGTGCTAGTTACCATCTCATCTGGACCTCACAAAAGTTCTGTCAGGTAAACAGTCTTGGTCCCATTTTATATCTTCAAGTACCATGATAGGATAGGATCATGAAGCTTGTTAGCTACAGATACTCTGATCCTAATCTCTCTATTTCCAGAGAGTGCCTTTACTCTTTATCATAAATTATATTACTTCTAGCACCCAAAGTGCCTAGATGTCCAGTCCTTTCCTCTCCCTCGGTCTGTTTCATCAGCTGTTAAATGAGGTATATCAGAATAATATCTATAGTACCAGCTCTGGTACCTTTACAGTTAAATGTATACCCAAAGTCTGGATTAAAGATAGAAGTCCATATACTTCCAAAATAATCAAAGCAAATAGCTCTGGCAGAATAATCCTCTAAAATAGAGTGACATCAGGAAATGGTATCCTTAATTGTACCATTTCCTCTAGTCTGAGGGACTGGAAAGAAAAGGAGATCTCAGTGGATTATTTTCTAATAACAGAACTTGAAAGCAGCTCAAAAAAATACCATCTTAACTCTAGGGTCCAAATTTAGCTACAAGAGTATCCAAGACAAAGGTAAACAAGCAGTCCTTCTTGAGTTGACATAGTAGCACTGAGATTTGGGATGCATAGGGCTGGGTCAGACCTCTCCTCAGAGTTGGCCGTTCCGGATACAAGAGAGGAAGATGTGCCACAATCCACTTTGAGTATGTATAAAGTGAAAGAATGCATAAAAGTTGGCTAATAATACAAGTTGATGACAAACATGACTATTTTTGAGGCAGGGTCTTACTATGTAGTCCAGGCAAGCCTGGAACTTGCTATATAGCTCAGGGTGATCTTGAACTTGCAATCCTCCTCCTGAAGCTTCCCAAGTACTGGGGTTATAGGTATAAGCCACCATGCCCAGATGCCAGGATGACTTTTAAAGTTACCATTTGATGAACTGAGGATGATCAGACCTGGGGGAATAGTCAACATTTTCTTAGGTAGGGGCATACTAACCCTATTTTAAATAGTTGTTGCATGTAACACCGAGTTAAAAAATGCTGAGAAAAAAAAACATACTTCTATGCTCACAGAGCTAACTAACCTTGAACAACTAATATATCCTCATTGTGTCTCATGTTTTTTGAGACAGAGTTTCTCTGTGAAAGCCCTGGCTGTCCTGGAACTTGCTTTGTAGACCAGGCTGGCCTCAAACTCAGAAATCTGCCTGCCGCTGCCTCCTGGGAGCTGAGATTAAAGGCTGTTTCTTCATTCATTTTGAGAATGTAACATTATAAATTTGTTTAGATATTGTGAAGAATACTTAAATTAATATACATAAGTACTTATGAATATACACATCACATTGTAAACTTTGCATACGTAATTTTCATATTGGGTATTACCATGTACTTTAGGTACTAATACATATTTCCTGTTTTCTACTAATACAATGAACTATTAAAGGATGAGCTGTGATTCTGTTCAAAATCACAAATCAGAGAAATTGGAAATAATTTATCCAAAGAGGCAGAACCAAGTTCAGAATCACTCCAAAGCCTATGTGCCTAACTACAAGACTGCATTTGAATGATGGTACCTTGCCTAGCAGACAATCAGCTACAATGGAAGATTAGTGAGATGAGACTGTTAAAATAACTGTGTTCTGTGTCCAGTGCTGTTACTAACTCACTCTGTATCCCTGGAAAGCAGTTTAAGCAGTTACTGTTTGATCTGCTCCACATGCTGCTTGAAAGCATCAAATCTGTGTGAGGGAAATAGTAAGTTTACATGAGGGAAAGGATGCTCTCACTGTTTAGAGCTTTCATTCTTGTCTCCTCTGCCTCAATTGTACTTTACATCTCTTTATCTTGCCCCACAGGGCACAATCCATTCCCACTGACTCTAGGGGTTTCTGTACTCTTCCAGCATTTACCACAAAGTGCTCACTGTCCTAGGAATCTGTCTGCCTACTCCAGATGAACAAGGCCATGTCTGACTCATCCCAGATTCTGTAACGGCTGGCAAGGACAAGGCAAAGAGAGGCTTTTCAAAAGGCAAGTCTCCAATTATGAGTGAGTACATACCGCACAGCTCCAGAGAGGCTAGCTAATGAGAACACCAAGAGGGATGCATGGATCACCCTGGGAAGGGGAAATGGATGAGATCTCCATGAGTGGACTGGGGGTGAGGGGGGTAATGGAGGGTAGGGGATAGGGGATGAGAACATAAGGGAATGGGATGATTGAGTTGGAACAGGGACGGAATGGAAGAGCAATGAAAGAGACAACATGATAGAGGGAGACATTATGGGAATAGGGAGAAACCGGATGCTAGGGAAGTTCCCAGAAATCCACAAGGATGACTCCACCTTAGACTACTAGCTATAGTAGAGAGGGTGCCTGAACTGGCTCACCCCAGTAATCAGATTGGTGACTACCCTAACTGTCATCATAGAGCCTTCATCCAGTAACTGATGGAAGCAGATGCAGAGATCCACAGCCAAGCACAAGACTGAGCTTCAGGAGACCAGTTGAAGAGAGAGAAGAGGGATTCTATGAACAAGGGGCATCAAGATCATAATGGGGAAACGTATAGAGACAACCAAACCAAACTAGTGGGAACTCATGAACTGTGTACCAATAGCTGTGGAGCTTCTATGGGACTGGATAGGCGAGAGTTATGTAGCTTGATCTACTTAAGGGGCCCCCTGGCAGTGGGATCAGGATCCATCCTCAGGGCATGAGCAGACTTTGTGGAGGCCACTGCCTATGGTGGGACACTTTACACAGCCTTGCACCAGGAAGAGGGGGAGCTTGGACCTCCCTCAACTGAGTGTATCAGGCTCTGCTGACTCCCCAAGGGAGGCCTTGCCTTGGAGGAGGTGGGAGTGGGGATTGGGATGGGGAAGAAGGCTGGGGGGTAGAAGGAGAGAGGGGAGGGTATCTGTGGTTGGTATATAAAAGGATTAGAAAATTACTTAATAATAATAATAATAAATACATATAATCAGGTAAAAAAAAAAAAGGCAAGTCTCCTAAAATCACATATCAAATCCTCCAGTGCCTTCCATCCAAACTGGAAACAAAGTCCATAGATGAGAACATACAGGCTGACCTCCAATTGCTCCTATACAATTTCTGCTCTTTTTGCTAGCCACACTGGCCACTTTCTTTTTCTTAGACTATACATTCTCATATCTCAGGGCCTTTGTTATGGCTCTTCCTTCTACCTGAAATACTCGACCACAAAAAACTCACATGATTTTTCTCTTTCATCTTCTTCAGGTCTTTTCTCAAATGTTGTTCCCTTTGGTAATTTCTCCATTATTCTAGCCTGTTATTTTATTTTCCCCATAATCCCTATCAACATGTGATGATAGCATGCTTCTGTGTTGCTTTTCTTCTCTACTGAAACATAAACTATAGAAACTTTGCTCACCACTTAACATATTTCTAGAACACAGAATCAAGCCTGATGGAAAGTATTCAATAAATGATCTTCAAAGAATGAATCAATGGTTAATAAATGAGTAGTGACCATTAAGCCCTACCCAGAACTTTCTTATCAGCTTTTCACATTTTTTTTTTGCAGCCAAAGTCTCAAGGAGTAGGCTTCATTTAATTTTAATTAATTCTAACTTAACCCATTTTTGTTCAGTTTTACTTCATCCTGATTACAGGATAATTGATGATGGAGCTATGGCCTGAATGGCCTAGCAGGCATACCTGTGGTCCATAAGCTGCATGCATCCCAGGAAACCTTTGAATGAGTATTGTGGAATATTATTTTAACTGGGCAAAGCTGTGTTACATTTGTTTATACCGCAAAGTATTACTTTAACTGTGTAAACGTGTGTTAGTTTTGTTTATTCTGTATTTGTTTAACAATGTAAGGATGTGTGTTTAATTATGTAAAGATGTGTTTCATCTGTTTCATCTTGCCTGCCCAAGGCACCTGATTGGTCTAATAAGAAGCTGAACAGCCAATAGATAGGCAGGAGGAAGGATAGGCAGGGCTGGAGGGAATAAATAGGAAAAATCTAGGCTTGAGACAGGAGAAAGAACTAGAGAAGGAGGAGAGAATGGAGGACATGCCCAGGGTAAGAAGCCAGGTAGATGCTAGCCGGCCAGACATACAGAAGCACTGAAACTAAGATATACAGAATTAAGAAAGGTTAGATAAGGCCCAAGGCAAAAGGTAGATAAAGAGAAACATGTTAATTTAAATTACAAGAACTAGCCAGAAACATGCCTAAGCTAGGCCAAGTATTCAAAACCAATAAGAAGTCTCTGTATAATGATTTGGGAGCTGGTTGGTGGCCCAAAAGAAAAAAAGCCCGGTACAAATGAGACCCAATATGTTTGGTGATGAAAAGTGCCAGGTTTTAATGTCAAAAGGTTGAACAGTCTTGAAATAAGGGCAAAAGAAATGTCAATTTTTTCAACCAATTTAATCTTCAGTGGTACCTGTGTTAACCTATGTGTCAATAAGTGTAGAGAAGTGACATGTCTACCTGGGCCTATGTTTCATCTTTTGGACCAAGAAGTGTGCTTCATTTATTCACCTTCACTTTTAAATGGATACCTTTTCTGTATCTATCATACTAGTTTTGTTTTGTCTTGTTTTTTCAGTTTCTTTGGATTATACAATCCAATGGTAAGCCAGAAAAGGACATCGGGTATTATATAAGCAGGCAAGAAAGGGAGGGAAACCACAAAGAGAAATTACGACCACATGATCCAGCTCCCAAATATGAGCTACAAACAAGGGCACTTTCTGAAAATCTTCAGGACAAAAGAGGCTGAAGAGAAGCTATCAGGGATATGTTCCATTTCTCTTTGTTTCAAATGATTTCATGTGAAAGGAGGCAAAATGACAGCTCATCCAAAACTCTGAACCAGAGAACTGAGAAATGGAAAATTTCCAGAAACTATAGTCCTTGGAAATAGGCTCTCCTCCTTTCTGCTACTCTAAACTTCCCTGAGTTATAATCACTTGAAGAAGTACATGACAATTTAACTTATCTCTTTATTTTTCAGGAGTTATGAGGGGTATAGTCTCCATACGCTATAACAAGTGACTGATAATGTAACTGGAGTAAGGTAAAGAAATCTGAAGGCTCATGAGAAAAAGATGAGGGGAAAGAGACAGACACTGATTTACGGAAGGGCTTTCTGCTCTTTGGCCAGATAGTCTGTTTTACCAAGCCAACAACAATTGCCTGTAAGTCACCAATCCTACCTTTCCCTCTTCAAGGGATATTAGGTTTTGAAGGTTTCCCCTGTGATTACTGTTTTTCACTTGATGACTAAAGCTGAAATCACCATGAGGATGTGTTTTGACAGCTACCCTTGTTTGTTTCTACATCTGAGAGAGGTGAGGAGTGGCCCACCCTGGGAAGCATTGCTTGCTTGCTTATTTGTAAGGCAGCCACTGTCTGATTATCTCCTGCCTGCATTCTCCATTTGTTCTCCACCACCCCTCCAGAAACACTGTCAGAAGTAACTGTATGTGTCTACTCAAGGAGCAGCTCCCTCATTCCAGAAATACAACTGGAAATGCTTTCTCAGACACTGATTCCTTGAACCATAGCTCAAGTCCTTGGAGTTTGGTAAAAAAAAAAAAAAAAGGTCTTTGGGTAGGCCAAAGGGTTTCAAACTTTTATTCATCTCTCCAATGACTGGAGACTCAGACAACACATAAAAAGTTAGAAGGGGAAAAATGTTTCAGGGCAGAAGAAAAACCATTCAGAGAATAGGAATTCAGTGGCCTTTTGGAACCTTTCCTTACAAGGAAGCCTGCAAAAGAGACAGAAAGGGGTCTTGCCAGTTTCAGATTGTCTCTGTTGGTAGACTTGCTTAAAGTTAATTTGGTCTTGCTCCTTATCTCTCCTACAATAAATGAACAGAGGAAAAAACACATAAAGGAGAATCCATTACTTTCTAGTAAGTCTGGGCCAGTGATGGCTTCTCATTATAAGCAAAGGGGTTTACATATGTGTGTATGTGTCCATACATATGTGTGTGTCCACATATATATGTGTATAAATGAATGAAATCAATGTATATATTCTTTCTATATATTAATTTTTCTATATCTCAAGGTATCACTGCTATTCTACCCTTAGAGGACCTTATCTATCAAATAGGATAAAAATGTGTCAACTGATAATAATTGTGGTTTTTTTAAATCATCCACATTAGGAAGACTAGAAAAAAAAATTTTGCTTGAACATTGGCTAACTCTTTGTTAAGACTAGTAATGGTCCCCTTTGGATAGACTAAACAATTTGAAATGTTAAAAGAAATACTGTTACTTAAACACAGAAGATTATGCCTGAGGTGAGGGCAGTACAAAAAGGTATTGGATCTACATCTATACTATCACCACATAGTTTAAGAATGTCACTTCCTGCCTGATGACATTTTCCATCCTGGCTATGTCAGCCTACATACTATCAGGGTCACACAACTTGGGTCTGCGAGATGAGTAAGAGCTGTTATTACTCCTAGTTTGTGGCATTTGGGAAGGAAAGGTTGATGACTTCAGTCATTTCCTTTCAAAGTTCAAAGTAACTGTGGGTGTCTATATTGTGATGACTAGGTGACAGATTATTTTTAGAATGATGATGAAAACAGAGCTTGGTCATTGGATTTGGCAGGATGATAGTTACAGCCTAGAATATGCATGCTTGATTAGTCTAGTAGATACACTAGAATGAGGTGATCTCACCAATAGCAAAATAAGTATACTTGATATTCTATATGGTTATAAGCAAGAGTACCAAACCTTTATTGTGTGCCTTGAAGTACATTAGTATGTACTACTTCTTATCTACCTATGAAGTTTATGATCTCAAATCCAGGACAAAAAGAGCATTCGAATGGTACTAAGTCAATCCAGTTGTTTCCTAAAATCACCCAAAGAGATGAACACTGTCTTTCTTAATATGTCACAGTAAAGTAAAATGAATAAACAAAAGTAATAAAGTAAAATAAATAAAATAAAGTCACAAAGATTTCACCAAACTTCAGAGACTATTCTAAATACTCCT